CCGGGCGCTGCTTTTGCACCCCCCGGGCTGCCGGGGTTGGGGGTGCGAACGGCTTTCCGGAGGCTCCATGGGGGAAAAAGGGGGAGCAGATGGGATGTGCTGGTGGGGACACGCCACCTCCCCATTATCCAGCAGGTGCATTTGCTACCGAGGCAGCGGGATGGGCGTTTTACAGTCTCCCAGTGCACAGCCCCTCACCCTGGCATCGGGCCTTGACCCAAAGGCACATAGATCCCTCTAGCAGGGGGAGCAGATAACATGCCAGGGTGGGGGAGGTAGTTTCCTTAGCACCCCAGGTCTCCTGCACTCCCTGGCCAGTGGCTGCTTGTCTGCAGGTGCATTTGCTACCGAGGCAGCGGGATGGGCGTTTTACAGTCTCCCAGTGCACAGCCCCTCACCCTGGCATCGGGCCTTGACCCAAAGGCACATAGATCCCTCTAGCAGGGGGAGCAGATAACATGCCAGGGTGGGGGAGGTAGTTTCCTTAGCACCCCAGGTCTCCTGCACTCCCTGGCCAGTGGCTGCTTGTCTGAGCCTGGCAGGATCCCCGCAGAACCCGGCACATTTTAGCTCAGGAAAACAGTGCTAGGGCCTATAGAGCTGCCCCTCTCTGTGGCATGTTGGGGTTTGAGCTCCCTGTGCCTCCATGGCAATGCCGGACTAACAGTGTGGTTGAGCCCGGGGGTGAGTTCTGAGCCCTCTTTTCTCTGAGCTGTGAGAAAGCCACAGAGAAGGAGCAAGAAAGAAGGGGGAAAAAGCAAAAAGAAGGAAGGAAAAAACAGCCGGGTAGAAAATCTGGCCCTGCACAAGGAGAAGCCACCTGAACCCCGTGGGTGAAGCCCTCCCAGGCAGCGCTGCCCCTTCCAACCTCAGCTTCCCACAAGCCTCACAAGTCGGGCAGCCGGCCGGGCGCTTCAGCCTCCTTCTGCTATGGGTAGTTTCACTCCCCACCAAACGCCCATGGTCGCTGATGGAGCCGTGACTCGCCGGCACTCTTGGCCCGCTCCAGCCTTTGGGAGATGGGTGGATTTTTCTCTGGATAGTTATTGACAGGGGCTTTCGGGCAGCCTCAGCAGGCGCCTCGCCACCCACTAGCACCTCTTTTCCAGCTTTGTCCCTTTCTTTAATCAACCAAACATCAGTGTCTTCATTTTTTTTTTTAACCATTTAAGGAAAATTAGTGGGGAAAAACATGTAAAATCCTAAAAACAGGCTGGCACAGAGATGGTTCTGATTTATCTTTAATTTAATCTTCACCTCCTCATTTATTAATGAGTCTGCTTTCTCCGGCTCATTTTCCTGCTCCCCCAGCGGAACTGCAAATGCCCTCCCAATTCCCTGTCGTCCCCCCGCTGAGCAGGGATCCATCCTGCTTTGTGTCTTCCCTGCCCTGCTCTTATCCTGCCATCTGAGGATGCCTACGGACTTGCCGGGGAGGCTCCTCCGCCTTTCCGTATTCACATTCCCGCTTCTCCCTGCGGAGGCGAGAGCAAGGGCGGAAGGTGCCTAGTGCTGTTCACAAGAGCTGTCCAAGAGCAAAAGATGGGGATGGATTGGGGATGTGATGGGGAAGCCGTACGGGAATGGGGATCAGATGGGGAAACTCTGCTGCTGTGGAAATTGGATGGGGAGAACATCACTAGGATGGGGGGAAGCATCGCTGGGAATGGGATCAGAAAGGTGGAATCCCACTGGGGTGAGAATGGGATGGGGAAATCCCACCAGGACAGAGATCAGAAAGGTGAAATCCCACCAAGAAGGGATCAGCTGGAGGTAACTTTGCTGGGAAGGGGATCAGATGGGAAGATCTTGCAGGAATGGGGATCAGAGAGGTGATATCCTGCTGGGATGGGGAAAATCTTGCAGGAATGGAAGAGAGAGGATAGGGAAAACCCCCAGGAAAGGGAGAAAGACCCACCAGAATGGGGTTAGAATGGGGAAAACCTGCAGGGATGGGGATTAGGTGGGGATAGGGGAATCCTGTCCTATTAGGTGGAGATAGGGGTATCTCCTGCTGGGGTAGGGGAAACCTTTCCAGGAATGGGATCAAGAGGGATTAGAGAGGTGAAATCCCACCTGGATGAGAATGGGGTAGGGTAATTCCACCAGGATGGGGATTGGCTGAGCAAACTTTGCTGGGATGGGAACTGGATGAGGGAAACTCCATCGGGATGGGGACCGCAGAGGTTAAACCCCACAGGGCTGGGGGTGGTCCTCTGTGACAACACATGGATGACACCGAATGCACAGAGGGATGCGAGGGACTGTCACCAAGGGTCCTGTCATGGCAAAGGCCTCCACTGACTATAAAAATAATTTAAAAAGTATATATATTATATATATATATAAACTATATATATATATATGTGTGTGTGTGTGTGTATATATATATATATATATATAAAAACTTTTTTGGCACATTTGACTCCTTCTTGCAGCAAACCCCTCGTGCCATGTCAATCCCCCCACCCTGTGGTGGGCACCAGTCCGTCATGCATTTCCTGCACCTCTTGGTCCTGAGCCCTCCTGCATTGCCCTGCATCCCAAGACAAACTCCTGCTCCCACCGCAAGATCCTGCGCCCTATTGCACTCCTCTATGATCCTGCACCCTGCCATGCGGTCCTGCATCCTGCCACACTAGGGATAGTGTCACATGCTCCTGGATGCCATGCCACCACCCTACCCCCTGCCATGTGGTCATTCACCCCACTGCGTGGTCTGGCATGCCACCACGTGGTCCTGCACCCTCTTATACGGTCCTGCACGCATCACATGGCCCTGCAGCCTGACGTGGGGCACCTGCCAGGCTGGACAGTGCCGTGTTCTGTCATGGAGCCACCAGTGCCCAGGGAAAGGCCATGGAGCCAGGAGTGTCTACAGCCTGGGATTATGAAGACGGGACCTGCAGGACCTCTGTGCCCACACACTTTGTGCTTGTGCAAACGCTTGCGCAGCCCCACAGTGTCCTCGTGCTTGCGCCTCCTGCGTGCAAAAGCTCTGCCCTGGGTGCCCGTGGCTTTAGTGCAGCTGCAAGCACACGGGCTTGTGCAAAGGCCTTTCCCCTGTGCCAGTGCAATGCCCTCATGCATGTGCACTGCCCTTGGGTGCACACACCTGGGATGCAGGGGCACCTCCTGTGAAAATGCACCATCCTCCTGCAGTTGCCCTTCCCCTGGGTAAATGCACGTCCCTTGCACCAGTGCATGTCCCTCGTGCAGCTGCAGTGCCGTTGTGCAAATGTGCCTCCTTCATGGTATTGCAAATGCACAGGGCCCCCTGTGCAAAGGCACATCCCTCCTGCAAGTGCACTACCCTGGTGTGGACGCAGCTCCCTTGTGCAAGCGCGCGTTCCTCGTGCCAGGGCACTGCCCTTGTGCAAATGCACCTCCCCAGAGCAAATGCTCAACTCCGCTCCCCCACGCAAGTGTCTTTCCCTTGGCAGAGGGCCTGTGCCGAGGCCGTTCCCTGCGCACACACGCTCCCTTCCAGGCCCACGCGCGCCCACGGCGTGGCACCCTCTCACCAGCCCCGACCCCTGTGAATACGTCCCCTGGTGACACTGTGCAGGGCCCCCCATCTCCGGGCACGGTGGGGGGACGCTGGGCACGGGGCCCCAGCAGCGGGGACAGCAGCATGAATTATGCATGGCGGTGGCGCGGCGCGACGGGTGACAGGGCGAGAATATCAAGCGGGAGTGCGGGGACGGCCGCGGAGACGCGGGGACACCCGGCACATGGGGATGTGCCAGACTCTGAGGACATGGGGACATCCGGCAAACAGGGACACAGGGACATTGAGAAAATGGGACCCTGCAACCTGCCTCCCCTTCCCCCCTCCCTCCTTTCCCCCATCAGGGATGCAGGGGGCTGTGACGCCCTGGGGACACTTGGGGACACCTGGCACATGGGAAGAGGCTGTGACTGCGCAGCCGGGCAGCCCTGGGCAGTGAGGGCACCGTGGCGGAGCGGGGCGGGGGGCAGCATCACGTCAGGGTGCTGCAACTGACTGCGTGTGCATGGTGTGAGCGTGCAACGCTGCAAGCATGCAGGGGTGCAAGCGCGCGATGCCACTCACGTGCACAAGTGCAATGCTGTGGGTGTGCAGAGCTGCCAGCGTGCACGAAACACGCAGCGTTGGGAGCGCTCCATGCTGGAAGTGCACAGGGCTGCAAGCGTGCAATGCCAAGAGCATGTGGCGCTGCGAGTGTGCAATGCTGTGAGTGCGCAGGGTGGCGAGTGTGCAATGCTGTGAGAGTGCAGGCCTGCAAGTGTGCGATTCTGTGAGTGTGCAGGGCTGCATGCGTACGATGCAGGGAGCATGCACGGTGCAAGAGCAATTTCCTGGCAGTGTGCATTGCTGCGAGTTTGCAATGCCATGAGCAGGCAGGGCTGCAAGTGTGCAATGCTGTGAACATGCAGGAGAGTGCAAGTGCAAAGTCCTGTGCATGTGTAGGGCTGCAAGGATGCAGTTGCACAAGAGTGTGGGGCTGTGAGTGTGCAATGAGGTGAACATGCGCAATGCAAGCAGGAGGCCCTGCAAGCGTGCAGGGCTGCAACTGTGCAACGCTGTGAGCATGCACGATGTAAGCACAAGGCCCTGCGAGTGAGCAGGGCTGCGCGCATGCAATGCTGCAAGGGTGCAGGGCTGTGTGTGTGCTGCGAGCGGCAGCGTTGCAGCGTGCAGGGCTGTGTGCACTGCTGCGAGCAGCAGCATTGCAGCGTGCAGGGCTGTGTGTGTGCTGCGAGCGGCAGCGTTGCAGCATGCAGGGCTGTGTGTGCTGCGAGTGGCAGCGTTGCAGCGTGCAGGGCTGTGTGTGCTGTGAGCAGCAGTGTTGCAGCGTGCAGGTCTGTGAGCGTGCGGGGCCATGGGGACGGCTCTGCCGCTCGCCCGC